GGCTGAACATCATTGTTTTCTTTTTAGCAGCCACTTTAATCCAAAGCGAACAACATTTTCTTAGAAAGTAGGGTCAGCCAGTCCCTGGAGCACCTGGGGGTTAATGGCCTTGCTAAGGGACGCAACAGTGACATCACTCAGCCGGCACTGGGATTTGAGCCAGTGACCTTACGATCACAGACACGGCATCCTAACCCACTGAGTCACATGGCAGTGAAGTCTAGCGCTATGTGAAGGCGTGTGATTAGCACTAATGTTCGCTTAAGGTTACTACCAGATGTGTATCTTTTTGCAGCCCATACGTAACTCTCCCTGCGCGAGCATGAGTAACGGACAGAGGCGTGAAGCTCGCATGGCACTGCGATGGGAAACGGGGCGAAGATGGCAGCGGGGTGATCAAACAGCTGGGATGAGGGGATGAGCGAGTGAACCAGCGAACGAAAGCCAACAGTCAGACGGACCAACGGAAAGGAAGGAGGAGGAGAAAAACAAGAATAAAAGGAAAATGCAGGAAGACCTGAAATTGAACTTTGTGAGGATGGAGGAGTCGGGAAGGAGGAAGAGGAAGGTGAGGAGGAGGCCGGTGGGGGGTGTGTATGTGCCCCAGGGACCAGCGAGTAGAGGGGGGCATGACCTACGGGCGGGAACACAAGGGCACAGGTCAAAGGGCCTGGTCGGCACAGGAAGAGCACAGGCACACACACACGGGCAGGCTCAGCAGAATGCAAGAGGGTCACAGAGATGGAGATAAAGTGGGAGAGAGGGAGATAGGGCAGACTGCAGGGAGATAGGGCAGACTGCAGGGAGATGGGACAGTTACGTGCTAATGCTAATGCTAGCTAATGGAATGGGTGTGTGGGAAGGATGGGGTAGAAGTGAACTGCTGGTGCTAATGCTAATGCTAGCTAATGGAATGGGTGTGTGGGAAGGATGGGGTAGAAGTGAACTGCTGGTGCTAATGCTAATGCTAGCTAATGGAATTGCTGTGTGGGAAGGATGGGGTATAAGGGAACTCCTGGTGCTAAAGCTAATACTAGCTAATGAAAGGGTTGGTGGGGATGGATGTGGTAGAAGTGAACTGCTGGTGCTAAAGCTAATGCTAGGTAATGAAATGGTTGGTGGGGATGGATGTGGTAGAAGTGAACTGCTGGTGCTAAAGCTAATGCTAGGTAATGAAATGGTTGGTGGGGATGGATGTGGTAGAAGTGAATTGCTGGTGCTATTGCTAATGCTAGCTCACGAGATGGTTGCGTGGGGTTCGATATGTGTCTCACTAATAGGGGCGTTGGAGGGACATGGATACTCTGGCAGATTCAGGGGGGCTACCACTTTAGACAGGGGGCCTTGAATATGTAAATTTTAACATAAAATTGGTCAGGGGGGTCCAAGGTGACATCTTGTCAGGTCCAGAATTACACTTTCAGAGACATTCTGGTGCCCAGCACAGCCCGTCTGCTGTATTTCTGTCATGCAGGCTGCCCTGTCAGTCCCAGTGACCCTCCAGTCAGTGCAGTGACGGCTGCGGTCAGGCTGACAGACTCAGGGACCATTAAATCACTCACGCGAATTAAAGAGACAGCGTAGTATTAGCTGATATCTGACTGGCTGGTTATCCACTGCCACGCAAACACACACACGAGCACACACACACAGACACACACACGTGCGCACATGTAGGGTAAACATATCCTTATGGGAACCGCTCATTCATTTAAATGGGAAAAATGCTAACGCTAACTATGACATACACACACACACACACATACACGCGCGCACACAGACACACACACACGCAGATACACACACACATACACGCGCGCACACAGACAGACACGCACACAGACGGGCAATGTGGCTGTTTAGCCCCTCAGCAGGACCCATACATTACATGCAGTGTTATCTTTTTCACAGTGCACTCTGGGTAATCCCATCCAGCCCTGTCTGTGGGGCTGTACAGGAATTATTCATAATGCTGCTTGACAGGTATGTTGGAAGTCACAATAATTTAGCCGAGTGCCATGAAGTCCAGAGCAAAAAATCTGCCTGGCACTTTACATGCTGCAGTTCACCAGCCTGAGCTCTAGGGGGCATTGTGCCTCAGAAGACAGAGTGAAGCGCTGGCAGCTCAGATGTCAGCTCCATCTGTCCCTCTACAGCTCACCTACCACTGAGTGCTAATACCGACTCAAACACACACACACACACAGACACACATAGATAAAACCAAGCTCACCGACACACCTACAGGCACTTCATTCATGGTCACATGATCACGTCCACAGAACAGCTGGAAGTAGAAATGAGCAGAAACAATGTTGCTGTGCAGAGGGTCCGGGTGCTACGGGGGGACAAGCCACCGCCATGTGTAAGTATGACGCGATGGGGGCTGGGCAGGAGCTCAGGTGAGGCCATTCCAGGTGATGGAGGCAAAAGAGCAGGGGAGGGGGTGAAATGCCTGGGGCGGGGGGGGGGGGGGGACACGGACTCAGCCGGTACTCACGGACTTGCGGATGTTCACGCGGGGCTTGGGGATGGGCTTGGCTGGCTTGCTGTCGAAGCTCTCGGGCAGCGTGGATGAGCCATGCCCGCTCTTCCGCGCCTGCAGTGCCAGCTGATAGGCTACCTCGAATGCCTGTCCCAGCGTCAGGATGATCTCGTACGCCAGGTTCTGTAGACACACGCATGGGGGGGTCAGATAAAGGTAAAGACACATTTACAGATGTGGCCACCTTGCTGTGACTTGCAGCCTGTTTTCTGTCACTAGGGGGCGCTATGGAGCACTCACCACATCGAAGGCTGTAAACACATGGCAGTAGTGGTGGCTGGACTTGAGGTCTTTGGTGATGTAGGCGAATGTGGAGAGATCCTCAGGGTCCTGGGCTGCGCAGGAGATGTTACGGATCTCGTGTTCGGCGATGATGTTCTGAGTGCGGAGAATGAGCGTGAGAACCGACTGCGGCATAAGATTTCTGGATCCAAGGAACTCAGCAGAAGTTATTTTAAGGGAACGTGAAGCACTGAAAGTCACACATGGTCTGCGGTCGGAGCAGAACAAAACCACGACCCACCTACCTTGTTTGTGGCATCGATGAATTTCACCCCTTTGTATGAGACAGAGAGAACAATGGTGGGGATCTTCTTCATCTGCTCGGTGGACTTCTAAGAAAGACAAAACAGGAGGTTTTAGATCAGCACAGAGTGTGAGGATGCACAGGAAAAAGCACCTGGGCTTATAGGAGATAACAGCCAATCAGACTCCATCGCGTCACCACGGCAAGTGGGACTCATCACTTTGTTTCCAGGTTTCCACGCCAGTGTTCCCTGAGGCACTGTTCAGTGTAAAGGGTTGCGCTGTAAAATGCGATTTTGCCAGCAGCAATGCGACATTCCCGCAGTAATCCCACCCAGGCAGCCGGAGCTGACAGTCAGTCTGCACTGTCAGGCTGCGGCAGTGTCGGCCGCCTCCCGCTGCGCTGCCCTGACTACTGTCCGGCTGTCTCAGTCGGGCTCTCAGGCTGCCACAAATCGGAAGGATTCAGCAGTTTTCTGATAAGAGTGCAAGTCAGGCGGGTGGGGGGGGGTTTCAAAATTGCATGTGAAAGTATTAGCAATTCATGCGATGTACCGGGAATGATTCACGGTCATTCAGGGAGCCCTCTGGATGGGCAGAGCTGGGAGTGCAGTGGAAAGACGGAGAATTCAGACTCAGCAGATCTGGCATGGTTCATGAGCCCTGATTGGCTCAGCTAAAAGCTTTAAGGCCACTCCACCCAGAAGACTATAACTGCGCCTAGGAAGTCAATCAAGATCTTTTAGCTGATTGCTAAATTAGCGCCCCCTACAGGTCTGTCAGGTACCCATTAGCTGCAGCTGTTAAGACACGGTTCTCAATGGCAATAACTGTACTACTCCAGTGTCATCACATGAAGCAGCGGCCCAGTACAGCGTGCAGAAGCACAATCAGTCAAGCGACAGCAAGGACACAGGGCTGAAAAGCTGGATGTTACATATGCACATGCTCAGCTATCTGAAAGCATGGGATACAAGCCGTTATAAACGAATACAAGCAGCTGCTGGCACTGCAGGACGATGTAGGTGGAGGGCAAAAGGGGGACGGATCATCCCGCTGTCGCGGTGTCACCCTGCACGGGTCACCGGGTCACCGGGGCTTCCTGCTGACGCCTCCCATCAAACCACGTCACCTGCTGGGCCTCCCGCAGGGGAACGAGTGGTAAGGAGTCCGATGATAATGTGGGTCGGCGTCGGAGTGGAAACGGGGGGAGCCAGCAGAGTGTGTGTGTGGTGGACGACTGCGAATGATCAGGCCGGACACTTACTCTCATTTTGGAGCAAACGTCCTGTGTGGACTCCGTTCCTCTCAATTCCTTTACCAGCATGGAGCCCAGGTACTGAAAAAGAGAGTTTCACAATGTAACAAGGCTCCCTGCCCCATCCAGGGTGTCATGTCACCGCCCAGGTCCAGAGAGATACACCGGAGCCCTCATGCCAACATGGCAATTAAGACCTCATCATCGGTGTTGCTGCGGACGTCTGGTCGACTAATTAAAGATGGTGGCTTGCCAACAAACAGCCTGTGGGCGGAGTCATGCATGGATAGGCTTGCTGTTAGCCCCGCCCATCATAACTCACGCTGCCAGCCCCAGCTGTGTCCCCAAACAGGAAGTGATGCGAAACACTGAGAATTCTAATAAACAATAGAAAAAAAATCCTCTAGCATCTATACGAAAAACCATTTTGATTTATGCGGCAACATCTGTCTCAGCATATGTGAGGGAAGGATTCTCTGGATTCAGGAGCTCAGGACACCGAATCAAAGCCTTGCTTCTGATGGTCATTCATGTGACTTTTAAAGGTGAGGTCTGTTGGATGGGGGCGGGACTCACATAGGCCTCATAGTCACATGACTGGAAGATGAGCTTCTCCGGGTGGTGCTGCCAGTACTGCACCGGCGTGGATGAGGTCGCCTCATTGGGTGGCCGCAACGTGATTGGTTCGCACCACTCGCCTTGCTGAAATTACAGGGGGACAGAGGGGTCACCTATGTGCTGAACACAATAAAATCAGAACAACTGGCATCATACTTTAGCTATTAGCCACAGAATCCTAAAACTAAAATCAGGCTCTGATTCGAACTCATGCTGTTTGCTGCATTTCTGTGAGTGTCTCATGGGTTAAATACACCACAAATCTGCAGTGTTAAAACACTGCAGAATTCAATAGTCACACCTCAAACTCCCTGTCATCTGCTCTTAGGGCTGTCAGTGACTGCATCTCTCTGTAGTGTCCTTGCCTCCCACCTCAACAGTGGGAGTTAGTCACTGAAATCACTGAGAAGCCCTACATGGAGGGGGCTATGGGAAATCTAACATGTTAGATGACTGACGAATCTAGGTAACTGTAGATATAGAGATTCCCTATAGGTTATAGGACTTTATTTCCTGTACCAACTGTATATACCAGAAGGTTTGGGAACAGAAAAATGGAATAAGAGATAAATTAGATTTCCTGACAAGTGATATATTCTCCTCAATCATTTAAAAATAAAAATGCTATGCATTTGTGCATTTACCAGCACGTCCTGGAACATCGCGCGTTTACCAGCACGTCCTGGGATATCTGCACATTTACCAGCACGTCCTGGGACATCGCGCGTTTACCAGCACGTCCTGGGATATCTGCACATTTACCAGCACGTCCTGGGACATCAAGTTCTCTAAGGACCCATGAAACAAAAGATGTGTGACTTTGTGGGATGGCTGAATCAGGCCTCTCTCCAAACCACAGGCCGTTTTTAACAGTGCCTCACAAATACCAGCCCCGACACTGGCATCAGTGGGGGTCGCAGCCTGGGGGTGCGGGCACTGACCATGCTCACTTGCGCCATCTGCCGCTCCAGCTTGGATCGCGGCACATCATCAAAGTAGTTGTCGTTGCGGCGGCGCCGGGCGTCGGCCTGCATCATGAGGTGCTGAACGTCCAGCGAGCCGGCGGTGGTGTAGGCGCTCTGGCTGAGCGAGGGCGACAGCTGCGGGGGTGTGTGGTTCCCGGTGGGCTCCTGCGGGACAAGGAGGGCCTGTGGGGTTAAAGGGCGTTCGTGGCAACAGATCACACTTGTCTTATGCATGGTTACTCTGACCAAAGTCCTGCCACAGCAGCGGGGGACAGACCTGTATAATGGTTTGCCACAAACACCTTGGTGCAATTCTGTTGTGAAAGGCGCTATATAAAAATATATTGAATTGAACCAATGCCTGCTGTCCTCTGATCCGCCTGGGCGCTGGAGTTATGCAGGGATCCTGCTTCCTGTCACAGTGTAGCCTCACTTCCTGTGACTCACCTCCCCACCCACCCCCCCCCATCACAACCGGGGTGGAATCTCATTACCCCGCCCTGTATGGCGGTGGGTCGATCGCGCTCAAGGAGTAAGCGGGCGTATGGACCCGCAACTCCATGTTTCTGTAATCTGTCCTGTGGCCCCTGGAGCAGACGGCGGAGGCCCGGGCCCCGTGCAGGAGCCCACCTGGGCTGGGCACCATCTGGCCCTGGATCAGCATAAACTCCAGTCTCTAGAGATGCGGCCTACAAGCTGACCTCCAGTGACATTATGCCAGGAGTGGACAAGCTGGAGGATGCCTTTTAATTACAACTGCACGTAGATATTGCATACTAGACTGGCGGGGAGGGTCGCAGGTGTATGAAAAAGCGCCACATGCCCTTTGCCACCTGGCTTCATTTTCTATGCTCCGTGCTCCTCCTTCTTCCGGACTGCTGCCCCTGTCCTGTCCTCCCGGAAATTCAGCCCATCTGTTTGCTGCGAGTCCTGCTCCCTGCTGCCAGCTAACGGCCACAGTCTCATCCAGGCCACTTTAACACCGAGGAGCAGGGAGAGGGGCTCACTCGCACCCCGTCTGCCTCTTCTGCTCTCCATCCCCTGCTTTTGCTGCAGTCTCTGAGCATCCCCCCCCAGCCCTCACTGCTTCACAGACACCCCCGCTGGATAAAGACAGCGCACTGCATTCCCACACGCATGCTGAATGCAGAGGCGCGTCAAAGGAGCTCATTGCCAGTCAGCTGGGCCTCCTCATGCAGGAAGGCTGTCACACACACCAGTGACCGGCATCATGGACTAACCACGCATGGAAGTCCTTCCTGAGCCAGACAGCAGTCGGGTGTGCACAGCGGCGTGGCCACTGGCCTCAGCTAAAACCTGATTAGCCCTTGGAACCCCCCCCCCCCCACGTCCGTCCGTCACTCACCGATTCAAAGCATACCATTGGCTATTGATAAGGCTGGTGTATGAATTATAGCCCATCTTATTCCCTTAGTCTTAAAAAATCCTAGAATTGCCCCTAGCTTTGCGACATTGCCCCAGCCAGCCCCCCCCCATCCCAGCTGGCTGGCATCACAAGACAAGAGCAGCCACTCACTGCTCTTTATCCACCCATGAGGAGGAAAATGCAGATGCCCTACAGATTAGTAACAGCCAATGGTAGGAGGGCGTGAACGCGGGCCTCCGGACAGCTCACTTACTCTCAGGGAGATGGCTCGGGGCGGTTTCTGAGGTGGGTCGTCGTGGAGACGGTCTCCAAGGGATGCCAGGATACGCTTTCGGTGTCCAAGCAAGCTGATCTTCAACACCTGAGGATGGAAGAAAGATGGCTTCTTACACAGAAGACTAGGACAGCAGAGAGAGCTGGGGGGGGAGGCGGGAAGGAGGCACGGCAAAGGAGTTCCAGAGAGGAAATACAACAGTGAAAAAGCCCAGTCATCTGTACCTTTCTCCGACATCAAAACATAACTGATCGACTGATTTGCTCCAAGCACTCAATTCTAAAGCTAACTTGGATCACAGCAGATGATGGATGGATGGAGCTGCTAGCATGTGGCTAACACACTAGGAAGTGACAGGATGCAGTGCTGTATCGGTGGTGTGTGTGTGTGTCTGTGAGTACATGAGCCAGAAAGCCATCCATCTTGTGTCCCCAGCACGCTTGAACTCAGCAGGGCACGTTCAGGGTGGTGAAAACCTCTGTGGACACACATGACATCATCAAGGGGAGCTATGCCACAGGTCAAACGCCAGAAGGGTGTGGGTTCACTCATCCAACAGCCTGGCTGCTCACACATTCAGCGAAGGCACCAGATTACTTTCAGCAAAAATACTGCAAATCATCATGTGCGCGAGATGACTGGTAAGCAAACAGACGACGGTGTCGTCAGAGTCTCCGCTCTGGGCTCGACATGCTGGGAAGATGACAGGGAGACAGGGCTTCTTTCTGGGTGCAGAACAATAATTACACTGCGTCTCACACATAGCTGTGAGTTTAATTATCCTCAGAGCGGGCCTGGGGGGGAGGGGTTGGGGGTGCATTCCAGCTTTGTAGCATCCAGACGCTAATCACTCCCACATCTCCTGCACTCCCGCACCAATTACCGAGCTACCTGATTAGAGTGAGGAGCCAGCCGCAGCAGGCAGACCCGCAGATGTGCAGACAGACGCACGGACGTAAAAACAGGCGCGTAGAATGGCAGAGACACGTATGCACAGATACAGACACGGGCGGGATGGACAGACAGAGGGAGAGGAGAGGGGGACAGCAGCAGGGCAGGCAGGCAAGCAAAAGGATGGATTTCCACGGAAACGAGACTGACGGCCGCCCGCAGGGCCGTTCACGCCGACAACGGTGTCGGGCTCTCAGAGGAGCAGTGAAATTATCCTCCTCTCCTGTAATAAACTCTGCTGGATCATTTTCCACTTCCTGTCTAATTTGGCAACAGGGCTGACTAGGTGATGTACTGCGGATGGATTATTACGGAATCTGCATATAAACTTGTTTGTGGCTTATCTGATACTGGACAACGGCGGGAAAACGACAGACTAAGAGGCAGATTTCAGATGAAGGCCCATTTACATAAAAAAAGACATAAAACATCTTCAACAAAAAAGCTTCAAAAGAGAAAGATACCCCATTGCTATCTGCTCCGCACATCATACATGAACAATTAAAATGGCCCCCATTTGAACAGCCAGGATCAAAGCAGCCAGCATGAGACTTTTAAATGTAGGGATCCCTCAAATGGACGTGAAATGTGCTCTATCGCACATCAGCTTTGTGGGGCGCTCTCTGTCTCTCTGTCCCTCTGTGTCTCTATCTCTCTGCCTCTCTGTCTCTCTGTGTCTCTATCTCTCTGCCTCTCTGTCTCTCTGTGTCTCTATCTCTCTGCCTCTCTGTCTCTCTGCCTCTCTGTCTCTCTGTGTCTCTGTCTCTCTGCCTCTCTGTCCCTCTGTCTCTCTGTGTCTCTATCTCTCTGCCTCTCTGTCTCTCTGCCTCTCTGTCCCTCTGCCTCTCTGTCTCTTTGTGTCTCTATCTCTCTGTCTCTCTGCCTCTCTGTCCCTCTGTGTCTCTATCTCTCTGCCTCTCTGTCTCTCTGCCTCTCTGCCTCTCTTCCTCGCTCCACCAGCTGCCTTTTCTCCCAATCTGGCTCCCGGCTCAGAGCGGCGATCCGGACGATATCCCCGCAACGTTTAATTTCGAGACGGTCTAAATGCCGCCGAACGAGTAATTAACCTACTTCCCAGCTCGCGGCGATGTCACCGCGGAATGCCACGGCTGCGGGATCACTGACGGGGAGCGGGGACCGCAGGCGGGTGTCGGGGAGGAGAGGAGAGTGGGAGAGAGACAGAAGAAGGTAGGGATGGAGAGAGAGAAGGGAGGAGGGAGACACGGCACGTTTGATTTAGATGAAAATGGTGTGGAATGTGAGCAGTCGGGCAGAGATGTGTGGGGAGGTCAAGGAGGCAAGAGGAGGTCCAGGCTAAGTCTCCTCGAGTCCTCAGCAGAAGGAGCTGGCTAAGGAGCGTCCCTACAAAGATCCGTGGGAGGCCGCCCTGTAATCCTGTCCCCAGCCCTCCATCCTGATTCATATACATACACCAAACGTGCCAACTCTTAACACAATAACGGCAGAAAATAACTCTGTCCTTTGCCCGCGTTTGATGTTCCAAACAAACGGGCTGCCTGCTCTCCTCTCCTGCCAAGCCTGCTGCCCGTTGGGTGATGGGTGACAACCACACACACAGTTGTAATTGCTTTGGTACCTCGTGGGATAAACTGGGAAGCTCTCTGCTGTGACGTGTTTCTGAATCCACGTCTGCGCATGTGACTGGCTTTTGCATGTGTGCTGCATCCATTTGAATAGGTTTAACAGAAAGGCCTTAAAATTGCCTTTGAAGCTCAGCACTGCCACGTCTGTCCTGCAGGGGGGTCTCATTACATATTCGCCCCCCTTCATATTTCATTTACAAGGAATCTACGCACTAATCACAGAGCTGAGTCCAGCCACATCCAAAATTTATACTGCCGGAAAATGAGGCGTGACTGGATTCTGCGAGGCTAACGTGTCCTGGGGCACAGAGGTATGTTTCACAATCCGTGACATAATCCCTGTTAAAGCCTGTAACTCCTGCAGAAATAACCACCCTTACAGGATTAACCTGTACAGGCAGCAGAGACACTGTGAAGCCTCATTGCTGGAGTGGGGGGGGGGGGCACCATGACAATCGAGATAACCGTCACCGTCAGGACATGCAACTGGCCCTGG